ATTGTCCTTAAATATAGCAAATAACGATTTTGTACTAAAATCTGTAATTCAGATATAAGTAAGTGAATGATTTTTTATATATCCAGTAACTATAAACTAGAAGATGAAGCTTCAGCAAAAAAAATATTTTAACCTTCTCAGAAATTTAAAACAATTAGTCCCTTTGATAAATTTCGATAATTCAATGAGAGGCGTAATGGAATCCATTCTCAGTGATAAAAGCAAATTTTTGGCTGATGTTGACTTTGATGGATTACGTAAATTAGAAAAGAAAGTGAACTCGAATCTTGTGAAATTGTTAAACATGAATGTTATTAACAAAGATGAGTTCAATTTATTAAAACCTATGGGTTCGGCATATCCTAATTTATATGGACTACCGAAAATTCATAAGCCTAATACCCCCTACGTCCAATTCTATCTATGTGTCGGTCACCTACACACAACCTGGCAAAATGGCTTACAAAATTATTAAACCCTATCAGAAATCAATATTGTAAGTATTCTTTGACTGACTCATTCGAATTAATTAATTACTTAAAGGATATAAATATAAAGACAAAGACAATGTGCTCCTTTGATGTAAACACTTTATTTACAAATGTACCTCTTAGGAGAATCATTGATATTTTGTGTGACTTTATTTCTTCGAAAAACCTTCCACTGCCTTTTCCTGTTAAAACTCTTAAAGATTTATTATTATTATTATTATGTACAGATAATGTAAAATTCACATTTGAAGGTGAACACTTCAGACAAATAGATGGTGTAGCTATGGGCAGCCCTCTAGGACCATTGCTGGCTGATGTGTTCATGGGATATGTGGAAAATTTAGTTGGAGACTCAATTCGAAAGATGGGTCTGTATAAACGATATGTAGATGACATAATAATCATAGGTGATAAAATTGAAGACATAAGCCACTTGTTAGAAGAATTCAATAGTAGTCAAAACCACATTTCTCTTACATGTGAAGAAGAGAAGAACAACCAACTTCCTTTTCTTGACATCCTGATTACTAGGAGAGATGATGGTTCCATCAAACGTGCTACATATAGAAAACCAACATGGACAGGACAATATCTTAATTTTCATAGTCACTGCCCTATTCATTATAAACGCGGTTTAATAAAGAGCTTATTCAATAGAATCAATTGTATTTGTACTAGTGATACTATTGAAGTAGAGATGAAGCTCTTGACTGATGCGTTAATCAATAATGGTTACCCTTTGAAGTTCATAAACCGCTGGAAGGGTTGCAATATGACTAGACCTATGACGCTTCTGGCACCCAAAAAGCGAGTTTATATTACGCTACCATTCAGAGGTGACACACATAGTCTCATGTTGAAACAGAGACTTAAATTAGCTATCAACCGGACATTTTATGCAGCCCAACTTGTCATTATCGAAAAGACAAGGTCTATGTTTCACCAAAAGCCCAAACAGCATGAAAACGATTGTGTCACATCCCATTGTGTCTATAAATGTACATGTATGTGTGAAAACACGTACGTAGGGAGGAGCAATCGTGATTTGCAATTAAGGGTGGGTGAACATATACCAAAATGGTTGCAGAATCAGATGAATTCCAATGGTGAAATAAGATCACAGGATAGACAGACATCATCATCCATTGCGAAACATTTGATTGAGACGGGTCATAAGGTTGATATCAAATCAGCATTTGTTGTGTTGTACAAACGCCTTCAAGGACGTATACTAAGGTTTATTGAAGCCTTTATGTGTTCAAAAACAATTTGTACTTACACTTAACCTACCCTGGTAGTACTGATTTACTATCCAGAGTGGTAATCAAATTTGTTTTTGTGTGCTTTAAAATTTTTCCTTTGTTATGACTTACCCTTAACCTGTCTAGTTGACCTTTTAATTTTTCATATATAAATGTTCTTAACAAGTATATGTGTGATCGGATTGTTCGAAATGTATTGCGCAAATGTATCACATAATTCTGGTAAACTACGTCTTCTCATTGCATTATCGAAATTTTAATCTTCAACCGTGTTAGTTTTATTACACTAGATATAATTTATTTTGTTGAAAATGGATGAACAGCCAAGGGTCTTAGAAAATCTGACTTACTAACCTATGTATCGTTTCATCCTCCGACTTGAGGTGGTCTCTTTTATAATAAATCAGAAGATAAGAGCGAATTCTATGTAGGCAGATATTTTCCCTTGATAGATAGTCTAAGCAATCAACTAACGGCATGATTTATTTTTCAACTTATACTGTCATAAATTTTATCTTGTCTAACAATCCTCAAAATTGAACCAATTTATCAAAGCATTTAACACGGAGACAAACATCTAATTATAGAACGTGAAAAACAACGGTACCTGAGTAGATGCATAAGTAGAAAAAAGAGACTACCTTACTTTCCTAAGTATTTTCTTGATAATTTTCCCTTGAAATAAATAAACACTTTTATTCGGTAAATTTTTAAGGACACCTCATTGTTATGGGACATTGTATATGTATACTGAAATCTTTTGCGGTGGATTACAAAGAGGCTCTTATTTTTTTCAAACTGACTGAAGCAATATCTATCAAAATTTTAAAATCAGATTTATGCATCTTCAAAAGAACGCGTTAGCCATTATTCTTGTACCCTAATTTCAATGTTATTTTATTATGTTAGTTTCACAACAGGTTTGATAATTTGGTTGCATTATCACATCTTTCTTTTGCAGTTCACAATCTCGTTTTCACTTAAATGCACTTCATTTATGTCTCTGTTCATTAGATTAATAATACATTCACTTGTGATATTGTATTTATTCTCATTAGGATTATTTAGATTGTTACTGAGATATTTAAATTATCAGATGGGGTTTTGTGAAGATTTTAGAAATTTCACGGATTGAAATCATGAGTCAATTGAAGCTAGACCACCATGGAAAACCTGGAAGCACTGAATGCCAGCTCAGTGGTCTAGTTGGTTAAGCACCTGACGTGAGACTGATATGTCTTGGGTTCGAATCCCGCGGCGTCCGGGATCGTGGATGCGCACTCCTGGGGAGTCCCATACTAGGACGAAACGGTCGTCCAGTGCTTCCAGGTTTTCCATGGTGGTCTAGCTTCAATTGACTCATGAAATCAATCAGTGAAATATTTAAATTAATTTATAACCTACTTTATTTCAATGAGTATGTTAAAATTTATTTTAGATCTTCATTGCTCTACGTGTTGCATCGTGTTTAGTAATTTGAATCTTGAGGTAAGGTAGAAATATTAAATCTGTTACATCGAACTACAGAATTAAATTGACGTGTTTACGAAGTAAGAAAATTTCATAGTCTGACATCAGAATTACAGTAGTTTTATTTTAGTTTTAAGTGAAGAAACGTTTAGTTATGTTGTAGTATGTTTAATACAATTACACCGTTCTCTTACTCTTTTATATGTATGACACTTTACACAATGAGACATATGATATATGTCTAAACACCTTAGTTTATAATGTACTACAGACAGTTTAATCCACTTATTTTGATGCCTTTTTTGACTACAATAATAAATCAAGGAGGGTGGAGAAAATTCACTATTCCAAGGGAGATATCCATATTTTAATCATAATTAATTATCGATCAAGTTGAGTGGAAATGATGGTCTGTTAACTGTACAGTTAAGGAACTAATAAATTTCATGAAACGGAAGTTATTCATCAATAGTCACCCAAACAATATATATTAGTTATTATATTGAGTCAATAATATATTCTTCACAGGCTATTTTTCTGGATCAGAATCGAGCACATCATTTAACCTTATTTACAAATGTTCGCTTATATTGTGACGTTTAATAAGAAGCTAATCAGATAGTCATATAATACTAAAGATTTCTAACATGTATACTGACTTACTTCTATTCCATTCTAGAAACCAAAGTGTTAACTTTGATATTAATTAATTTCCGAAATTCTATCAAAATTAAACCAACCATTAGTTCTAGATTACACATCGCTGTATGTTAAAATGAGTTTAAAAGATGAAATCAGTTACCATTCACTCCATCGTTTTGTCATATATGAGGAAAGAAGTGAGAAGATATAATAACCGTTAACTATCATCGGATTATTATTATTGATAATATGTAAATAAATATACTAATCTCTATTTAACTGTGAAACTTTGGAACTGAACTTATCGTTACGTAAGTAGAACATCGATTTTAAGTAAACCTTTTTAAGCTACTACTCATCAATTATAAAGACAATATATGGTAGGAAGAATATAAAAATACAATTATACTTATACAGATAGATTTATTATCAAAGCTCACCCACTCAATATTTATTACTTAATACTAGAAACCAAGACATAACAGAGTATATCTTTGTAACAAATCATCAAAATATTGATGAACAGTATGATTTTTCTCATCAGTTTAATTGACTATCAGTGCATATCTTAATACTGAATATTCATATACTGAATGGTGAAATGTGAGACGTATGAAGTAACTGACTTCAGATAAAATTGTTTTATCCAACTCATTAAATATTCTTCTAACATATTCAGTGTTGATTAGGACTACGTAAAGCAGTCCAGAAAATTGTTGCTCCTCTGACCCTCTCCTCATAATAATAACATGCATAATTATTATAAGCGTTTCAAAGCCTTAATTGTAACTCTTAGTGAGGGTTCGTCATCAGGAAGTTCATACACAGTGAAAACCAAAAGCATCCTAGAAACATTATGAAATAAATTAGTATAAGATTATTTAACATACTGTAAAAGCTGCATCAGAAACAACCAATGACAAATTTATTACTGGTTGATATACACTGAAAATCCCATCCATTCTTTACAAAAAAGAAAAAAAACATGGTAATAGTACGATACATGACAAGATTCCATAATTCTTTTAGACCTTAGGAGATGAGAAGAATAGGATGGAATAAATTTACAAATAATATATTATAAAAAATAAATATGAGTCGAATATACAATCAGTAAGTAATCTTTTGGTTCAAATTAACCATATTTAAATAATAAAACCAAAAAATCTTCAACACGCAACAGAATACAATGCGATGCTTCAAATGCCACGGAACTAAGCGGAAAAAAATATATATACAATAATTAAATCTATAAAAATAATCCACTAACTTACCAATCAAAATGTTTTCCAACAATACAATGCCAATGTGTATGATAATGAGAATCAAAGTAAGATTTAATGAATGATGCAACCTCACGTTCCTCTGTGAAACGATTCATTGCTTTTTGTAATATCTTCATTGCATCTCTTTTCATTTCATCGCGCATATAACATCTGACAACAGATATTTCTGATAGTTTTATACTGGACATTAGGAATTGGTGAGCAAAGTTAGTAATGTTAATTAACAGTGCTCACATATATATATTTATTTCATTAATATAATACCATCAGGTCACTGTAGTTAACAAACCAAAAACAGGCCAAATAAGAAAATATATGTCGATCAATATTTCTTATCTATTCTATCTGTAAAGTGAGAAATGTTCAAGTTTCAAATAAAGTAATTTTAGGTCAAGTGAATTCCTTTAGACAAACTACATAATTATTTCTTATGTTATCTTTCGATAAAGAAAAGATCTTCAGCAAAGTATGAAGATAATTAATCCTGATCCAATATTACATTGTTTATTTATAATTTATATTCTTAATCCATAATGATTTTAGACTTGTATGATTTTTGATTGAATATCAGCGTGGATTCAAAAATCAATGTCCATTTAGAGCTAATGAAGTCAATAAAGTTTTGTACCTTCTTTTTTACTCAACATGTTATTTGTGTATATAAAATCACTTACGCCTGTTACTCCCAATGGCGCATACGCTGTCTATCGAACTCCGCCTGGGGACACTCTGGGGCTACTGACGGTCATAAGCTTGGATAAAGGAGGGTTGAGCATGGGGTTAGCGAATGCATCCCCTAGAAAACTAATTCGCTAAAAAAACGCTAACCAGAAAAAATTATTCAAGTTATATAAAATCACTTGGTAACGACTAAATCATTAAGTTTGTTTGTGCAAGTCAGTTCATCTTTGTTTGTCGAATTAGTGATTTTGAGTGACAGATTTTAGAATCTATAACTTCGAAAACTTCGTTGAAACCACAGGTCAAATTGAACTAAAATATGCTTGTATATTTATGATTTGTACTTTAAATCACTTCGAATGAAATGCACATGTGTCTAATATCCTGTGATATATATATAGCCGTTTAATATTTATAAACTTTTTTCCACATTTTAAATTGAAATCAACAGTAGAACGACTGTTCTAGTCAAGAAACAACATTTAAATATCGGTGTTTACTACTCATTACCCATTAAGTGTTATTACCTGAGTCCTGTGTTAGGCCAAAAGCTATCAGAATAGCCATGGAGTAAAATCTTTGACCATACCATTGCGTTTCCCTTATTTGAATCTCATGAGATCAATGATTTTCTAAAAATTGCAAATAGGTCTTGATTGCATATTACCATTAACATAAACGTTTGTCCTGGCGATTGCCTTGAATCACATTATATAGAGTTAATCACTGTAGTAACATTTAAGAAGTCGAAATGATTTAGTTTCAGAAAGTGAGATTAATTTGTATTTATCTAATGTCTTTTACGGGAATCGCGCATAAACTATGTTTTCAAAAATAAATATCTTCAAAATAAAATGTTATAAATATTAAATGTACAAACGTAGTGTAGAAGATTTAAATTATATGATATCTATAGAACTGATTTCAATTCACAGTGCCTCTCCTTCCAGTTTATGCAACTATTCGATATATGGTGACATCATAACACAAAGTCACTCAATGCAAATCATAGAAGATAATAAACTGTTGTAGAAACTTTTATTCGAATGTCTTCACACGTGAAATATGTCGACGATAATATCATCAAATATGAAGACAAAGATCCTACTAATAAGCTACAATGGCGTTACAATTATGCTCACCCGAATTTACTGTTCACATGCAAAATATCTCAAACAAAACAAACTGAATTTTCTTGGACTGGTCAATGTTCACATGTTAATAGCTTCCGGTCAACTTCATTTAATGAAGTTTATTCAAATAGTATTCTGTGCGGAGAATCAGATTTTGTTCTGTTGATTTATTTGACAATGAAATGAAAAGTATTTGCAATATCTTATTGGATAATGGTTGTTCTGTAAAGTGTGTTAACATGCATCTAAAGTAAATAAGTAGAATTCCACAACTAGCTGCTACACACAAAACAAAGTTATTAGTCATATTTCAGTCCAATGTGTTTTCTCCCTCCCTTATTCTGTTCATGTATAAAGTGAATTTGTATGAATGTTTAACATAACTATAAATATTTTTTTACTAGCAAAGTAAATAGTTGTACACATATTCACATAAAATCAAAAATATAATACATTTTATTTGTAAAAAGAAAAAAAGTACATATTTGATAGAATCAGAGAATGCACTGAAATAAATTCACTTCTTGTGCTATTACTACAATCCAAATGTTCATTTAATTGAGGATTCAGTCGTTAAGTGAATAATACAATGGCTTTTGAAACGAACAGTACTTAATCCGAGTCTCGGAGTAAACATCAACTCTAAAATACGGGTACATCCATTTAACAAGTACTAAATAGGATGAAATGCGCGTTCTGGATTCCACTGCTATCCACTATTCATCTCTGTTTAATATAATTCCATTTGACAATACTATAAATTTTCATTAACAATGACAAAAATGAACCAATAATATAAAATTATGAAAATCCAATAAATTGTATAGAAGACTTCTACCTGAAGTTTGTACTGACGTTATTGTTCAGAAGAACAATCAAAGATCCATGTCATTTTGTATTTAATTTTTAATTTATTAACATTATTCTGAAGTTATTCAACCTTATTATTATTAAAAATGAAAATGGAAAAAAATTGATTTTATTTTATCTTTTTGATTGAGATCATGAACAAATTGATGTTAGATCACCGTTGAAAACCTGGAAGCACTGGATGGCCGTTTTGTTATATTTTGTAATTCTTCAAAAGTCCGCATCCACGATCCCGCTCGCTGGATTATAAGCCAGGGCCTACAGTCTCGCACGTGAACGCTTAACTTATTGGACCACTGAGCCGACATCCAATGATGTTAATGTCTAACCTCAACCAATTTATGAAATTGGATTTTCCATTGTACTGTGGTAGATACCTGTCTCTACCCGACACAGACTAGCTCTACTTGTCACGGCTCTTCACTAGAACTCCGAGAATTTTCTAACGAAGCTAGTCACCAGTGATCACATGATAATTGTCAGTATAGGGGTTGATTGAGATCATGAACCGATTGATGTTAGACCACCACCAACACTACCACAACCCCTAAACTGATAATTTTATTTTTACATAATTTTTTTTTGTAAAATACTCACAATTAATATTTTATAAATTAACTTAATTTCATAATGAATAGATCAATTATAAAATAAGATCAGATCATATGATAGACAGAATCAGAAAAACATTTTGAAAATTTTTTCTTGTTTTCTTTTTCTTTTTCCTTTTTTCTTTTTTTTTTTGGTTTTAGCATAAATCAACACAATAAACTAAAATTGTGATTTTTTTTCTCACTATAGATTTGTGAAAAAAAATGTGTGGTTAAATATTTTTTTTGTGTTAAAAATAAAAAAAAATTTTTTTGTTCCAATCATAACTTCTTATTTTGTTTTGTTGTTGTTATTTATGAATTATTTAAACAAACCACTTGTATACAAATTGAAATTTATAATTATTTAGTTGATTAATCAAAGAATTAATAATTTTGATTAAATATAATGAAAGAATATGAAGTGATCATCATAAATAGTGCAATGCCTACAGATTTAGAAGAATATGCTGCACAAGTAGCAACAGAAGCAATTACTATGGATTCTGATTTTAGTAGTATTGCACATTTTATCAAGAGAAATTTTGATAGGAAATATACAAACACTTGGCAATGTGTAGTTGGTAAACATTTTTGTGGGTAAATTCTTTTGTTGAATATATATTTTAGTATTTTAGTATTTTATATAAATTTACATTGTTGATAATCGAGTTCATTACAACTGTTGATTTGTAATTCATATGTTAGACATCACCTTTTTTTATCACTGTATCAAGACGGGTACATTTAAAAACTTAAGAAAGCATTATAAGCAAAGATAGATAGTAGTCAGCATTGGAATCCTGAACGCGCGTTTTGTCCTATTTAGGAATCGTCAGCTGGATGAACATGCATCTTAGAGCTGAAGAGTCCTAAATAGAATGAAACACAAGTCCTGGATTCCACTGCTAACCATTATCCATCTTTGCTTATAAAGCTTGTGACTTCAGGTAATATTGAAGCAGTGTGTACAGGATGCACATATGCCAACAAGTCACTGATAAAATGCAGTCTTAAATAGCAACGAGAAGATACAAGTAAACAACACTAAATGAATCAAGAAAGTATTGACTCAAACTTTCATTAATGTCACAGTGCTCTAATAAATTTGATGAAGATTACTTTTGATAATCTGAATTTAATAATAAACAATCTTTCAGTTACATAATAATTCAGTTATATCGTACAATGTGAATGTAAACCAGCACATAACGTTGTATGATTGCATTGTAATAACAACAAATTTTGTTGATATAAGCCTTTGAAAAATAACTGTCGGTTCATTTATTAGTAGTAATTGTCTTTATCTAAGAATATTATAAAAATGCATATGAGTTTTCATATTACATTTTTAGCATTTCTCATGATACAACAATTCTGATCAAATGATAACTATATATAAAGTCTTACTATATTTAGAAATGTAAACTCACCAGATACTTAATATCTGATCAAATAATTACGTCCAGTGTTAAACACTGACTATTATGTGCTAACGTTCATAAAAAGACTTCTCATTTCGCAGACCTATTACTTTGACTCTGTATTAAAAAACTAGATGAGACTCCGAAAGGTGATCTTCTCTTTAAAATGCCACAAATCAAGCTACTAAAACCAGATGTATAATTCTGTGATTCCACAAATAGCACTAAACATAAAAACTATCTTTAATACACTAATGATTTTAAAGATACTAAATGAACTTTAGATTTTCCATAGAACATATCAGTAACAAAATAAAATGAACTGTTGGTTTTACCATTTAATATACTAAGAGATAAAAATTATCACATCCTGTATTACTTCTTAATCAATGCCAAACGATTTGTATAGCTAAATTACATTATATGTCTTCTGCTTCATAGAAATTGTAATTAATTGTTTAAGAACCGACAGATAAAAGCAGTAAATCCA